TGAGCCCGGTGGTGATTGTGGTGTCGTTAGCATCCTTAATCTCGTGTTCCACGTGCTAGCTCTCTCCACGTGGAGCACTCTGAGTGTTTTCTAGAGTCCTTCCTGCCCCGTGTTTACGTGGAGTGGAGTTGGCTTTATGCCAAAGAGAAGTTGGAGACGAATAGGAGATTGAACCGGCCCCATGACGGTGCGTTCCCATCGCAGTGCCGTGAGCAGATCTGACCTTCCTGAATGAGGGTCCGCAGAGCAGATCTGCTCCAACCCTTAATGGCTCAGATGGGTCTCTGCCTCTCTGTGCAGGAAGGGACAGCGTCCCTTTTTGCCCACCTCCTCCCCATTTCCCTGAAGAACCCTATCTTGAGGATTGTCAGAGCGGCCTCCTTCACAAATCACTGCATGTGACTTCCAAGCAAGTACCCGCCATCTTTGTTTTTGGAACAAGATTACCATGAGAATAATTGCAACGTACTTAGAACTAACCCCTGGTCTTTAGCACAGTACAGTTTCTCAAAGGCATTTCTGAGTGTCTTGACAAATCATGTTGTCTTTAAAGTGGTTGTTCACTTTCCATGAATTCCTTGGTACATTTCTAGGTCGCTACAAATTCTCAAGTTCAAAAAGATTGCTGACGTCCTTGGGAATTGTGCCCTGGCGTTACATGTCTAGATGGCTGCCGTAATAGAATGCGTCAGTAATCTAGAAATGGAAATGCAGTGATGAAATTATATGGACTTCACATAACGTACAGAGTAAAATGGCCCTGGGATCCTAGAAGCCAAGAAAATAATTGGTGTATGGATCTCTAGTTGTTAGAACTTATGGTGCTAACCTATGAGGAAAGAGAGAGATTGCCCTTAAATCACTAATTCCTTCCCCCACATTTCTCTCTGAGTCATCCAAGTCCACATGTTGTTTACCTGGGCCGCCATCAGACCCTGAGTATTTTGGAGGAAGCGTTGCCAGGGTGAGCCATTTGAACCTGCTCCCTGGCCGGCTCTGGCAGCTGGTGTCTCGCACCATCCCCATGCGGTTGTCCCAATCTGTTGTCTGCTTGGGGCACATTCAGTGGAGGGCTTGCTCACAATTGTGGTGCTGAATACTCACTTACTTCCCGCACGTTGTTCTCACTCGTCGGTATGTGCGTCGGCTTGGCAAAATTGTTTTTCTCATCACGGGGACTTACAATCGTTCTCCCAAAGACACAGGAAAACTAAATTGTGCGCGTTGGTGGGAAATCGGGGCCGGGCTGCCGTCCCCACTGTGTGTGTGTGCTCGGCGTGAGTTCTTGCAGGGCCTGGGGCGCGCAGACCTGCCGGGTGGTCAGTCAGGACGCACGTCTCCCGTCCCGTCCCGTGGCTCCGCAGCAGAGCACCGCGGAGGAGGAGACAGGAGGAAGACGCAGCGGTAACAGTTGTCAGTCTTAGCTCCACCGAGTGTCCGCCAATTTTATCCTGTCATCTTCCGAATCTGCACCCTCAGGACACATCCTAGAAGTTCTGGCTTCCCTCTGTGTGCAGAGCAACCAGGGTCGCCAGCCACTGATGTTTGTAAGGTGGTCCAGCACAAGAGCTCTCTTATCCGAATTTCCCATATTTCATGTGTCCTTTTAACCCAGTCATTATTTTCCAAGAATCAGCTTTAAAACGGGTATTTTTTAAAGGAAGAAATCTCTAAGCCAGCACATACGAAGGCGTACGAGCACGTATCCTGTGCCAAATCTTACGCTAAGTTCTTCACGTACCTCGTCAAGGGCTCACCGTGGGTGGTGGGTAGAGAGCATCGTCTCCATTATCAAAGTAAACCAAGGCTCGGGGTCACTCTCTTTCCCCAGGCCCCACAGAGTAAAGAGGTGGAATGAGGTGTCAGAGTCAGGGCATCTCCTGTCAAGAGCGGTGTTTCAGGGCTGGCCGTGCTGTCTGAATTTCTTAAATCACGAGATTCTTTTACTGAAAACTTCCTCCCTACATTGCGTCCTTCCCATCTGTGTTCTCGGGGATCACCTTCTTCTGTGTCTTATAAAGTGCTGAGTCCCATCCTTGGCCATTTGCTTCATTCTGGTCCATTTTGGCCGGGACACCCATTTATCCTCAGAGAGAACTCCTGAGCTGATAAAATACAGACTGGGGTATCCTTAATAAGCCACTGGAGATTAAGAGAGCAAAGAAAAAAGGGCACAAGTTCTTTCTCAAACTAAACACGAAAGATCCGACAGTTAAAGGCTTCAGCACTGAAACAGCATTGCAATAAGTCATGACTGTCTTGTCATAGGAGACATTCCAGAAAATTCTGGGAAGAGTGCCATAAGGGCACCATATACGAAAGTCAGTTTGATGGCCTGCAATGACCCGAATCAACTGTAAGATTACATCATCTCAGGATACACAATATTTAAATTTCGGTTGGAGAGCACATTCTCCAGCAAACTATGGCAGAAGGTGACTTTCTGCTGCCCTTCAATTGCGTTTCCTAAACACCTTTTTTAAAGCCTGCTTTGAACCTCTGGGGCCTTCTTGGACTGTGTCGTTAACGTAAACATCCTACGGATATTTACCGGATATGTGCTGTGAGCCAGGCACCACCGCACAGAATGTAGGCTAGTGGAGAGTGACCAGGGTACAGTGTAGACCCAGACTGCAGTTACCTCGGATGGAGAAGTGAGACCAGGACAAGACTATCGCGAGTGGGAAACATCACGTGTAGTAGGAGACAGGCAGGCAGGTGTGTTAGAAACTCAGAGGTATAAGATGCTGTCGAGGGGGGAGATTCCAAGATGCTTCGTGGAGAAGGTGGCATGGTGCAGGGCCTCGAGGGGGAGTTGGATTTGGCTGAGCAGCAGAGGGGGCAGAGGGAGGGCGGTGGCACAGGAGCCCCTGTCCCAAGACTCTGTAAGAAGACCTTTGCTTTGACGCGGACCGTGCACCTGCCTGCGGGAAGGAGCCCCTTTGCTCCGTCACCTCCACACCCTGGGACGAGCGTTTCTTCTTGGAGGACAGGACAGTCCCTGTGTTTTCCCAAAGCTCTGTCCGTCTGCTGTCATGGGAGGCCTTCGGCGCCCTGCTGCAGTGATCATGTCTGATACGTTTATTATCCCCCAGCAGCGCCCAGCCCTATGTGCTCTGCAGGGGAGACAAAGAAAGAGGGGATGGAGCGGGGGAAGAGAGGAGCAGTCTTCATAAACAGGGACAGTCCCGCTCCCCCTCGCACCTCGTAAGACCATGGCATCTAGAATGCTCTGGAGTTAGTTCTGGATCCTCTAGAGTTCCAGGTCCTCGGTGGCACTTAGGGGCTGGGAGTGCCCTGGGCGCTCCCCGTTCTATAGATACCGTCTACCAATGTGGGTTGTGTGCGGTTTTCCCAGGACTCTGTAATGACTTAAGATGACTGCTCTGCTGCGGGACTTGGACGCAGAGAACAGAGAACAGATCCACTGGATCTGCTTCTTGTGGTTTTCTTAATTTCTTTACTGAAGTTGCCCAGACGCCTTGATCTTCTTGTGGACAAAGAGGACACATTTATTATGT